AGCCAAATCAAATACCAAGGCGTTCAAGATCAAATTACTTGTTCGTGATCAAATCCAAATTCAAGTTCAAGAAGGAGATTCAAGATCAAGCTTTACAAGCTCTTAAATCAAAATTAAAATCAAGCTTATCCAGATTGTTTACATTCTTGAAGAATCAGAGGAATACAATAGAGATTGTAACACTCATCATTTACTGAAATCAAATACTACATTTGTTGCGTAATTTTCTAGTCTTGATTTTTTTTTTCTCGATGCGAAAATTTATTGTTACAACATCCATGACATCCTCTTCAAGATCACTAAATGATACATCCTCCTCATTCTTAACAGGAATGGTGGGTGTGGGTCTTACTTAACACCTATACTGTCTGTTCTTTCTTTTTTAACCAATCATCACCATCATCTTCATCACTATCTTCCAACTTACTAGAGGATGCAGATTGGAGTTTTTCAACATTTTAAAGGGTAATAGGTCTTCCTTCAACCATAGGGTAATCAAAATTGGATTTAACTGCTAATAACAGACTGCTTTTCAACATCACAATCGTAATAAGTACTCTTTCAACCATAGGCTTGTCAACAACTTCGATTTCATTACTAAGGACAGGTTACTTCTCAGTAGCAGGGACATGTATTGCAGCAGAAGTGCTTGGTTCTGTAAGAAAAATGAGTAGATAATATTGACAAGGAACAAGATAGAAACAAGAACAACTTATGAAAAAATATTGTGTCGTGGCAAGCCACTGCCTTGAAAGTGATTTTGCCCGACTGGGTACAAATCGTTAAGACCCGTCACTCTCCAAGGTTTCAAGGCCCCTCCAAACACGTGCACTCGTGGCAGAAAGTTTGGAATTTGCACAAAACAATTGCCCAGAATTCGGTTGAAGAAGAAAAGAGATGAAGGTGTTTTTCTGTATTTTTTAAAAACTTCACAAAATAACTCCTACTATAAATAAGATGCTAGAGCTGTTACAAGAAGGAGAATTAAATCGAGGGTTATGAAAATAAAAGAACTGTTACAGAATTCAAGTTAGGCCTCACGTATATCTCGCGTGCGGGGGGGAGGTAAATCTACCCGTTTTGCCTTCAGGACCAATTTCTCATGTTCGCGAGACCACTCCCTTTTACTAGCTCTTTACAAGCTCAACAAAGAGCAATTCAATATAAAGAGAAGGAAAAGACTTTTCACAACCAATGAGGGACACTTTGTCTTTCACAAAAGACAAAGAAGTAAAGAAGAAAAAGGGACACAAAGAAATCTTTGACTTTGCATTATAAATAATACCAACAATCCCCCACTAATGCAAAGACAAAAATAGAATAAGAGTAATTTTGGGCAAAAGAAGGAACGTGTACTTAAGTGTCAATATCTTTCGATTTGAATTGACACGTAGTGAAATGTGGCAACAACTAACATCCATAAAGTGAAGTACTCTTGAATTGAATGGACATTAGTTGAGAACCACACAACACATACTATATCCTTAATTTTATGCAAATACTGCGATACTAACAAAGTGCTTTTATGGTCATGCACAAACTTTGGGTCTCATGAGTGCTCTAGAAAGACATCCCAATTCTGTCATAAAAGGTGACCGCACCTTTACACTCACGTTGGTGATTTCATCAAGTCTATCTATACATAGACCACCTTAAGGCTATGGAATCATCAAGAGTAAAATAAGCTCAACCTTATAAAGCACTACCATACGTCATAGGGATAGGAAATGTAGTGCATATTGAGGTCTCATATGGCTTCGTTTGACCACAAACGGGTATCTACCATACTTCCTCAATATATGGGCTTTATCCCAACCCCCCTCGAAGTTTTAAGGATAACTCTCCTTGCCAAACCCTTGGTTAAAGGATGCTAAATTTCTTCCGGACCTTACATATTCCAAGGAAATAACACTATATTTCAACAACTGTTTTACCGCACCATGTCTAATGCGGATATGTCTTCTCTTTTCCATTGTACACACTATTTTTGGCAATTTTAGTTGCCGCCTGTGAGTCACAATGTAGAGAAACTAGTGAAACTTGTCTTCCCCACAAAGGCATGTCTGCCAATAAATTTCTCAACCACTCATCTTCTTGCCCTGCCAACTCAAGAGCAATGAATTCAGACTCCATAGTAGATCGTGCTATACAAGTCTGTTTTGAAGACTTCCATGAAATAGCACATGCTCCCAAAGTAAACACATAGCCACTAGTGGAGCTAACTTCACCATTGTCAGTAACCCAGTTTGCACCACAAAATCCTTCTAAAATAACAAATAATTTATTGCAAACACCAATTCATAGTACCTCTCAAATACCTTAACAAACGATGGAAAGCATTCTAGTGTTCACTACTAGGGTTGCGAGTATGTCTACTCAATCTACTAATAACATAAGCAATATCAGGTCATGTATAATTCATAAGAAATATTACACTACCAATTATCTTAGCATATTCAGTTTGAGAAATACTAGATTCCTTATTATTTTTCAACTGTATGCTAGGATCGTAAGGAGTTTTCACAGGTGCTACATCAAAATAATTAAACCTTTTTAACATTTTCTCAATATAATAAGATTGAGATAATGAAAAACTATTAGAAGTTCTTTTGATTTTAATCCCTAAAATCACATCTGCTTCTCCAAGATCTTTCATTTCAAATTTAGAAGACAAAAAATACTTAGTCTCATTAACAACATTCACATTAGGGCCAAAGATTAACATGTCATCCACATACAGACGTATAATAACACAATCCGATCCTATCACCTTGTAATAAGCACATGTATCACATACATTAACAACATAATCATTACCCAATAATGTGCTATTAGACTTTTCATACTATTGCTTAGGTATCTGCTTTAGACCATATAAAGACTTTCTCAATTTGCATACTTTATTCTCCTGTCCTTGGATCACAAATCTCTCAGGTTGAGACATATAGAGCTTTTCCTCTAAATCACCATTTAGGAAAGCCATTTTAATATCCATTTGATGTATCACTAAATTATGAATAGCGGCTAAAGCAACAAGAGTTCTAATAGTCGCTATCTTAATCATAGGAGAATAAGTGTCAAAGTAATGAATGTCTTTCTTTTGGCTTTTGGTTAAAACCCCTAATAACAAGTCTAGCCTCAATTGTACCATCAGGCCTCAATTTCTTCTTAAATATCCACTTGCTACTTATGGGTTTACAACCTTTAGGCAAATCAGACAAGTCCCAAGTGTGATTAGAAACTATAGAGTCTAATTCACGTTAAATAGTCTTTTTCCAAAAAAACTAACATCTATTGACCTCATTGCTTTAGTATAAGTCTTAGGATCTTCTTTTATTAAATAGATAGACACTAATTCATCATTCAAAATATCAAGATCAATATTTTCAGTTAAGAAAGTAGTGATAAAGTCAGGACTAAAGCTAGCTTCAATTCTACACCTCTTACTCCTTCTACATTTATTTTCATGCTCATTAGTAGTAACACTAGAAGAAGGAAAAATATGAGAATTAACAGACATATATGTAGAAGCATTATTAGGCACATCACTAGCCATATTACTTTTCAATGAAAAAGCATGCTAAAAATATTCTGCATCTCTAGATTCACAAATAGAACTATCAGTCAAAGACATAAATCTATACGCAACACTATTTTGAGCATAACCAATGAAAATAACATCAAAATTCATGGGTCCAACAGTTACTTGTTCAAAATCAGGTAGACCAACCTTAGCCAAATACCCCCACACTTTTAGAATTTTCAAGTTAGAGGCAAACCCTTTCCATAACTCATACGGAATTNTATCAGACAAACCCGAACTCAAAAGTATAGAATTCATCATTTCCTTAAGGGTTATATTTTTTCGTTCGACTACACCATTTTGTTGGGGAGTATAGGGAGTACTAACCTCATGTATAATACCATTTTTCTCACAAAAGGTTTTTAGAGTATTAGTACTATATTTATACTGCTGTCAGACCTAAGTCTCTTGATGTTTTTGTGTAATTAATTTTCTACTTCTGCCTTGTATTTCAAAAACATACTTTCAGCCTCATCTTTTGACTTAAGAAGATATACCTTAGTGTATCTAGAAAAGTCATCTACAAAAGTGACATAGTATTTATTTCTACCCTTACTAACAGTGTTCTTGAAATCTGTTAAGTCTGAATGCACTAGTTCAAGCAATTCTGTCTTTCTACTTGTTATATTCTTAAAAAGGTTTTTGGTATGTTTTGCTTCTACACAAATAGGACACTTAAAACAATTATCAACATCAACTACAGGAAATAATTCTATTTTTCTAAATCTTTTAATAGAAGTAATATTAACATGGCCTAGTCTACCATGTCACAAATCAATAGACTCAGCAATATAAGCAAAATTAAAAGTACTAGCATTATTAGTAATCTCTTGAGCGATGTTCAGTACATATAAACTAACACTAAGGTAACCCTTCCCAACAAAGTCTCCCCCACGAGAAATAATAACTTTATCAGATTCAAAAATAAGTTTAAGACTTGCTTTGTTGAGAAGCGCACCAAAAACTAAATTTTTACAAAGGGAGGGTACATAAAGAACATTGTTCAAAGCTACCCATGTAGACACACTCGCCATCAGCAAATTTCTCAAAGTCGTGAAAGAGCTCCTTGTTGGCGCAAAGGTGCCTTGAAGCACCTGTGTCCAGTATCTAGTCAGTCTTGTTAGCCACCATGTTCGCCTCAACAACCACAACAGTAATGACATCACCACCCTCAGTAAGGTTAGCCTGGACTGGAGCTTTTCCTCCATTCTTTGAGCTTTGTCCTTATCTCTGGTTGCACTGAAAAGCCTTGTGACTAATTTTTTCGCAGACATAGCAAGGTCCTTTCGACTTTTAAATATGGCCCTCCGGCTTATTGAAGTAATTGTGCCTCTTCACATGCCCTTTCTTCTGTTTACCTTTAAATATGTCTTTCACAAAAGTACTAGAAGATTCCACAAGGTTAGCTTTAGAAGAATTAAGAGAGAGAGAAAGATTTCATCTTATCCTTAAGCGGTTCAGACTCTTCATCTTTGAGACGGTTTGCTTCCTCAGTCCTCATTTGACTGATCAGTTCTTGAAGAGTTAAGTTTTTCTTCTTATGTTTTAGCTGATTCCTGTAATCACTCCAGGAAGGAGGAAACTTTTCTAAGCAGAGAACATTAACCTGAAGAATCTCACACATCTCCATGCCTTCGTTCAAAACATCAACAGTCAAGTTCTCATACTCGTGAATCTGCTCCATGATCGGCTTATCATCGACTATCTGAAACTTGATCCACTTTTCAACCACATACTTCTTTTTTCCCATATTATTTGCACCATATTTCTTCTCCAAATTGTCCCATATAACTTTAGCAGATTTATAATTTATAAACAAATCAAAGAGAGGGTTAGTCATATGGTTAAGAAGATGCCCTCCAACAGTTTTATTATCCTTTTCAAATTTTTTCTTAGCAGCATCTTCAACAACAGTCGTATTAACATTAGAACTATAAATAACAACAACAACAACAACAACAGGTGGTTCGTTAAACAAAATGTAATCAACTTCTAAATGTTCAAAGAAAATAAAATGTTTCTGGGACCAACACTTATAATTGTTTCCATCTAAAGGCTTAAGTTTTGACAGATCAGGAAGTGTTTTGTTCAAAGTGGTAACCATTAGTCAATTTTATATGTACAAGTCACTTTAAGAAAAATGAGTAGATAATATTGACAAGGAATAAGATGGAAACAAGAACAACTTATCGAAAAATAAGTGATTTTGCAAATCGTTAACACTGGTCACTCCCCAAGGTTCCACAGCACCTCCAAACACGTGCGCTCATGGCTAAAAGTTTGGAATATGCACAAAATAATTGCCCAGAGTTCGGTCGAAGAAGAAGAGAGATGAATGTGGTTTTTTGTTAAAAACTTCACAAAATAGCTCCTAATACAGATAAGATAAGGTTGTAAGACGGAGAATTAAATCAGGGTTATGAAAATAAAAGAGATGTTACAGAATTTAAGTAGCAGTTACAACAAATTAAATTATAGCAGTTACAAAGTAATGAATCAGACGTTACAAAGTAATAAAATCAGACGTTACAAAATTCAATTCAAAGGGAATGAATTTGGACATATTCTGGTAAGCATGTATTTGGACACTTTTCTAGTAAGCTCAAAAAATGAAGGAATAAATTTTAGCAAAACTAGATTTGGGGTGGGGGTGGGGGGAGCAAATCGACCCGTTTTGCCTTCAGGATAATTTCTCATGTGCGTGAGACCACTCCCTTTTACTAACTCTTTAAGAACCCAACAAAGAGCAATCTATATATCTATATAATTGAAGGACATAGACATGGTTATGTGGCACTCCTTAAGACAAGAATACATATTTTTCTTTTTTCTCAAATTTTACCCTTTTCCTATATTTAAATTTTTAAAAAGAAAAACTTGAAAAGATGGAAACTATTTAGAAAGGTTGTGTCCTAATCAATACTAACCTCTTCTCTAACCGTTGCCATTTTTCTTTTAAAAAACGTTCCCACCAGCAAATACATATACAAGAAGCAATTTTCCTTCATATAGCATAACAATGTATACATACCAGGTGGCTGGTTTTCCCAGACAGCAGAAGTGAAGGACACGATCCATTGCAATCAGGGTACGTATAAGGATACAGTTCTCACTGCATCCTTTTCAAAGGACTCGATAACTTTTGCTATTCACTCTTTGATGTTTCTGTTATCTTGCTTGGATATAAAATATGAAGATGTGGCCTTGGTGTATATTGTTTTAGGAAGGCTCAACAACCTTCGCTACTCATTACAATTTTTGGTGTTTACAAGGGGATGGAGAAAGATGAAAACTTGAGAAGAAGGGCAGAAGAATCATTAGGGATAAGAATTCAAACAAAACATGCGTCAAACAAATTTCTTGATTGCAGTAAGAAGCCAACAATATTGTAAAATTAGTCCGCCTTTTTATATTTAATGATTGAGGATTACAGTACTGCATGAATTAAAACATCGTCATGACGAAATTGACAAGAAGTATTCATGAATGAGGTATCATAGTACATTGCAACAACGTAACATTGTTAATAGTGATAAGAGTGATGCACATGCAGATGTAGGTGCATATGGATTGTTTGATTATGAACAAACTTTAATTCTTACAACAACAACAAAAAAAACTTGAAATTAACAACAAGGAATAATTTTCTCTCAAGATTTTACAGTTTTTTTCAGACTTCAGCAATTTTAGCAAAATATCATATTTCAAAAATGGTCAACTTCTTTTAATTTCTCTATTTCTGATAGAAACCAAATTTTATTTCCTTTTCTTAGGTCGTGTTAGCATCTTCTATTGGAAATATGATTTTCTAGGGGGAGAAATTAGTTATAATCGCACACACTCATTTAAGTAAGATAGTCGATTATGCATCTTTATTCATTTATGTAAATTAAAAGATCGACATCTTTATTCATTTATGTAAATTAAAAGATCGGCTATTTAGTTTTGAAATTCTATTTACTCTCAAAGAGCCACAAATATACAAAAGCAAAAAGGCCAAATATTTTCCTTTAGGCATGATATATGGCTGCCAATGACATTATTAAGATTTTAATCAACAATACTTTTTAATCATTTGAACCTGATATAATTATGATATTATAAAGAGTCTAAATAACTATTGTAAATAAATCAAATCAGATAATAATGGTGCAAGGGTGAATGATAACACGATTTTATCAGGTATATATTTTTACTATTTAAATTTGTACCTGAATAGTTATTGAAGTATATATTGATGTAGTTCTAATAACATTGTTTTTGTTCCTTTGAGATGAAGAGTATTGCGAGAAAATAAAAAGACGTGAAGAGTACCTCATGAATAATTAATGACGATAGAAGATCACATGATCATTTGGACATTAACGAGTAACAATNATATATATATATATGGTAATTAGTCACTTGATTACCTAAGATCCGTGTGAACTGGCATTTTTAAGCTCTAATTCTAACGGAAATACTCATAATTTTGATTTAATAGTTATAAAATCACTTTTTAATGCATATACATGAATATTTTATTCTTTTATCACAACTAATTATACAAGAAGATAAATTTATTTTTTTCAACTGCGCGAAGCGCGGACTAATATACTAGTTCAATATAAAGAGAAGAAAAAACTTTCCACAACTAATGATACACTTTGTGTTTGATAAAAGACAAAGAATAAAAAAATGAAAAGGACCAAAAAAAAATCTTTGACTTTGCATTATTCCACACTATCCACACTAGACATCTCTCGGACCATATCTGCACAAAGCGCAGTGGATAAAACTGAGAGAATATCTTCATGCCGAGAGTCATTAATACCATTTGATACGAAAGTCCTCTTCGCTGACCAGTTTTCTTCTATTGGTTTAGTTTTTTTATGCAACTCTGGTGTCAACGAAGCACCGAGTTTGACAACCTGCACACAAATTAACATTTGTAGTACTAATGGTTAGAGCATTCACATCTGACATATAATGATTAAACCAAGCATCAGCTAACACACAAAATAGATCACCTTGTAACTACGGCGCAGATATTGATCGTCTTCATTCTCGGGCAAAGGAAAATCCAACGAAGTCTCAGGATGCAACGTAATGTTCTTTACAAAAGCTACTATTTCCTCATTAACACCAAAATCACCTCTCTGCTCTTCTGGTCCCAACTGCAGTAAATTCGAGGCCATTTTCGTAATTTGATACACATTGATATTATTCGACTCTTCCACTTCCCATTGATTTCAGCAAAGTCACTACGCATACCTCCGATCCCCACCGGGACCGGGTCGGGTTATCATGATTCGGATCCTGTAGATGATCGAATTGGAGTTATCTAGAGGCTTATACGGGTCGGATAGTTGGATAACTGAGAAATGATCAGAGTTTGCATGTCGCCGCCAATGAGCGTTTAACGGTTGCGATTGTAGTTGCAAATGTTAGCTGATGAATTAGAAAGATACGCATAATGGTCGTCGTTGTGTAATACCTGCATGAGCACACCAGAATGGGAAAAAAATAGAAAAGAAATTGTATTTATTGCACTCAAAATAGAATGGGTTTGTCTGGTTATTTTGTCGTGGAATTTTTTTTGTTAACAATTCATGGCCTATTTACTTTTGCCATTAGCAGAACTCCATTATAAAAAAAAAAAGAAGGTAAATTACACGTGTTCAAATTTTTTGAGATTAAAAGTCCAAATGTATCCATCGTGATTTGACTATAATTTTAAATTTACTCAAGTTGGAACTTTGTCAAAGTTCAAAGATAAGAAGGAATGTTTTTCCAACAGTAGGATAATACTAATTCAAAAGTTTAACTGAGGTCAAATTGTTCAATCTCAAATACTCTTTCCCTTGAATTTATTTGACTTGACACGGAATTTTTTTTAAAAAAAAATATTTAAAAGTTGTGACACTAAATAAGCCATAATATTTGTGGGACTATATATAATTCTTTTGAAACTTGTGGTATTAAACATGCCAAAATATTTGTGTGACTAAAAGTTTCTCCTCGAGGTTAGAGTTAAAACTTTAAGTTAAATTATTTCTAAGGTTATTCTTTTTGGAACGGATCAAAAAGAAAATAAGTTCACATAAACTGAAATGGAGGGAGTAGTATATGTAAGATTAAATCGCGAGGCGAGAACAATAATAGTGTACCTGCCAGTAACGCATCGGAAGAATTATTGAACTCACCATCAAAATAATAGCCCCAAGTCATACTCTAGAAAATTGAGTTCTATCTACAAACTAAATATCCTAGTTTTTTTGTATTTTATGGGAGAATCCAAGAGGAAGTTTTCTGTCACTTGAAGTTGTGTGGAAAGCGTATGCAAACTTTTTCTTTTAAGAAAGAAAAGATACGATTTTCTTCCGAAAAAATAACTTGCCACAGAGATTAGATTTAAACAATATTCTCATAGTTATGCTCGCTAATCAAATATAGTACAGTAAAATTATCGTCTCCACAGGGATTGGATTTAAACAGTATTCTCATAGTTTTTAGCTTGGTTGCTATCCAAGATGATCAACAATTGAGATTTATATGATTTCTAACTAAAATTAACTAAGAATCTAAAATTATTGACTAATGACAACCGCAACAAGGAACAAGCAAAGAAGTTTATCAATGAGAGAAGATAGAGTTTTGATGGTATAGGTGCAAGATAATTGTTCAGAATCTAACTCTAGATAATTCATTTGTAATGTTCAAGTGAGTCTTTCGAATTCACTCAATTATTAATTCAAACATTCAGCAAAAACTCCTCTCTCGATTAAGTCTTAACCTCACAAGATGAACCAATTTAAGCACATGAAGATATGCAAAAATGCATAGTGGATTGGTATTTAGGAAAATCTCTTTCGATTATTCTCCTAACTAGGTTTAATCAATGATTCAACTGGCCTCTTTCGATTACTTAGAAGAATTTATGAACTCAACCAACAATATAGTGCAAGGATATTACACGTTATGCCTCTCTCGATTACATGAACTAGTGAATATAGATGCAATAATTAAATCATCCAAAATGATTCAATACATAAAACTAGAGTTATAATCCACAAACATTCATCAATACACCAAATCCATCAAACCCTAAAAGGAACTTCTCCA